GACTAAAAATTTGCGATAAGGTCATTTTCAAGGTCAAAACTAAAAAACTGAAGAAATATAACTTTAATTTTATAAACCTGTTGATTATTTATTAATTTTGTACGATATATAATTTATGTACGACTGATTTGTTCTTCGTGTGTTTTTTTTCAGATTCTTGCATGGTATCGTCTCCTCCTGACGCTCTCTTTTGGCCGGTCCTTATACGCTGTTCGCGTATAGTGTTTGTTGGTGTCGGTACGACAGGTATCCTAACCTCACAACTGTCAGATTTTAACAATTTATAACTCTCTTAGTAGTGCCGAGCGACAATTTTAACTTGCAAATTCGTGTTTTACAGGAAAAAATACACGATCCTATGAATTTTCATGAAAAACGGAGAATGAGAGACTCTCCTTCAGTATTACCTGGAGACTTTATCGACAGTGCTTGAAAATGGGCGTAGCGGAGTAGTTTCAAAAATAAAAGTGGGCGTAAAGCGCTGGAAACTGCTTAGCGAAATGGTAACAAGTAAAACACCGGAGTGGCCGCTCTCAGGTTTCTCTCTGCTTTTACTCTGATTGGTCAAATTTCAATCTAATCCCAATCTCAATCCGTAGTCTGATACGGGCTGTTGGCCGTATTGGATCCGGATGGAGCAAGAAGCTTAATAATCTCGCTATCTCACTCTTCTACGATCGTAGATCGTGAATATGATCTTGTGCTATGATTGGTCAAATCTGAAATTTCATTGAATAAAATTTCAATGTGATGCTACGAAGTTGTAGATTGACCAATCATAGCACAAGATCATTTTAAGGGGATTCTGGAGTGATTCTGCACTTCTGGCACCTTCTGCTCCTAGAACTGTCAATTCGTGAATACATTTGCGTAATATACAAATCATGTGGCTTTTGTGTACAGACTGATAATGTTCCGCTAATCGGATTTTGCTCTCATAAATTTTCGAAATATTTTCTACGCGGCGACATTTAGCGATTTACAAGGCTCCGTTCTTCCGACAGGTTGGCGGCCCTGGAGCGAACCGACTGAAGTAGGTCGTATACCGTGGACGCAGCACGAGAGAGGGAGTGTTGGCGCGGCCCGGTCGCTCGGACACGTTTATGGTTATCAAGTTTGACAATAAACGTCGGGTGGTCCTGCATGACACGGAGTTAACGATACGTCAGCATGGGTAAGTCGAGGACGCCGCGCGATTTTCCGGCGTGCCGCGCATTCGTGCCGTCAACGTGTCGCGGCGCGGCGCGCTCCGTTGCCTACGTTCCGATCGCCGACCACCGCGGTCTCGTCCCTCGAGAGAAGGAAAGAGAGAGAGAGAGAGAGAGGTCCTGACGATGTTCTCGTTGCAGGTGGGTTGCTCAGTTACTTCCGTAACCTGCTCGGCAGCCGCGAGATGCGGATCTTGATCCTGGGCCTGGACGGCGCCGGCAAAACCACGATTCTGTACAGGTTTGCATCGACGCTCCCCGCGACACGATGACTGGCTGTCATCTCTGTGTTTACGCGACGTGTCCGTTGTCAGTCGCTTTCCTCGCGGATCGCAGTTATCTTTCTACCATTTTACACATATCTCGCGTGTAATATTAATATCGTTGTCATCGACGAAATGCTGTTGAAGACTGATGATCTTGAGGACGTTTGTGTGACTGTTAAAATTTAGATAGTTCGCTCATGACATGACACTAATCTTATTTATTATCCTCTTGTTTTGTGGACAAGTATATATATATATATAAGAGACCTGCAATTATTTTATTATTATCCAGGGTTGATTATCCATGCGAGTGATGACTGCGTAAGAAAATTTAGTTTTATGGCAACGTATATTATTGCATCATTAATATGCATTCTTATTTATGAAATATATGTACAAGAATAAATCACGAGTTTTTAGTTTTTGCTATGCTAAGAACTAAAGTTGTTCAAATTTATAATTTATGTTAAGTCCCAGTCTACAATAGATGATTTAAGCCCTAAGCTTTAAGAAATTGGCCAATCACAGTCAAGTATGAGTAGAATGCGCGACTGTGATTAGTCAATTTCTTAAGGCTTAGGGCTTAAATCTCTATTGTAGACTGGGTCTTATAGTCAAAAAGTTTTACATTTATAGTCGATAATTGATAATCATCAGTTATCCTGATGGTTGTGATCATTTGCTCTCAGAATTGATAGTCTTTGGTAATATTTCGTTGGTGATGTTGTAAATGCTGTATATATTTCTATGATATAAGTATCCAAGTGCATGCACTTACATATCGCTACAATAATGAGAGACAGATTTAATGTCGAATGTCAGCTACAAAATGTGAAATAAGCAAGATTCTTTAATCAATTGTTTTGTTAGGTTACAAGTAGGCGAAGTAGTGACCACAATACCGACCATAGGGTTCAACGTAGAACAAGTTACTTACAAAAATTTAAAGTTCCAAGTCTGGGATCTCGGCGGTCAGACGAGTATACGGTATGTCGAGCTTGTATATGCTGATTTTGATAATGCATGTGCACGTATTGTTAGCGACCATCCTTTACAAAATGTACTTTAAAACGAACGTATTTACTTTCAGACCATACTGGAGGTGTTACTATTCCAATACAGATGCGATAATTTACGTGGTAGATTCGGCAGACAGAGATAGAATAGGCATATCAAAGGACGAATTAATTCTCATGTTACAAGTAATATTGCCTGTTGAATTAACGATCTTGCATTATTTTTAAATAGGAAAAGACCTTTATTTCATTTTATGCTAATATCAACACTCGTCTTAAAAAGTATTATGTAATTCAAAATATATCTTGTATTTAAATAGGAGGAAGAGTTACAAGGCGCAATCTTGGTGGTGCTGGCGAATAAACAGGATATGGCAGGATGCCTTAGTGTCGCAGAGGTCCATCAAGCGCTTGGATTGGACGCTCTCAAAAACAGAACCTTCCAAATATTTAAGACTTCCGCGACGAAAGGCGAAGGGCTTGACCAAGCCATGGACTGGTTGTCGAACGCGCTGCAGAGTAGAAAATGATCAATATTATGTCAGAATTATTTATATTCGAGCCTTACAAGGGGACTAGTCATACGACTGTCGCTCTGAGTGTGCCGCCGGATTGCCGGACACGCTAGGTTTTGTTTATTTATTGTGATTAATGTATTTTAAATACTTTCTTTACAATTTGCAGCGAGAATATTCGAGGAATCACTGTACTTTTTCATAACGCTGAACATGTAATAATAAGGGGATCATTTTACCTTTTTTCTATGCAATTTAAAGTAATAAACTTAGAGAATTCTTTCAATATAGGTTTCTTTGCAGTAATAAGTACTTCATACGCTATTTCTACGCGTAACATTTGATTAATAATTCGGTTAAAATAAATATCTTTTTTTTTTCATTCAATAGTGACGATAAATGGACTTTATGGACTTATAAATTGTAATGGGGAACACAAGTATATTGGTACCAAATATACAAAATGATTACCAATCAAATAGAAGAATAAACACTTGAAAAAAGTTCAAACTCACGAAACAAGAATACTTGAACACATTTAGATCATATCTATACGTAATATGCTGTCTTGATGTATCTTAAATTGTATAAAATGTTTTTTTCGATAATACGAGTAAAACGAATTTAAAACTGGAAACTCAAAGGATAAGATAAAAGTACAACCTCGTACTAGCGTTTATAAAAATTGTTACACATTATAAACAAAATAAAATTCTCTGCCGCGAAAGAATCACGTCAGAAGTGATGACCATCATCAAATATTTTCCCCGAGTTAAATTGTAATATAACTGAGATAAGTTTTACTGCTTGGCAGCAATTATACCAAATAATAAAGCGCGGTTAGTGATTTTTTAAAATATTTTCCAAGTATTTATATTTCCTGAGTAATCTACTGAATTTTTTAATAATTTATATACCAAGAAATATAAATACTATCTCGTAATAAATATTCAAAGTCATTACATGTAAATAATAGCAATTGTGTTGTTTGTAATAGATGATAGCTTTTATAAAACGAACCTACCAATGCGAGATGTTGATCGCTCTTTTCACTACCATTCCGGAACACCAAACTTTTGGATTCGCTTGATTTTCGCAGCCATGTCTATTCGAGATTTCACCCTCATGTAAAATATCGGGCAGTCACGGCTAAAAATATATTTGAAGATAATTATTTTGCAGCAATTATATATCATTCATTTACTCCCCTATACATATAAATATTCAATTCAGTGTTAATAATATATTTAAAAAATATCATTTTAGGAAAAAGTATTTCACATTAATACGACTAACTTGGAGCATATAACTTCTTGGTGAAGACTCCCTTGGCACCTCTGGCATTCCGCCCACAATCTGGAGAACTTCTCTTCCAGCTTATGCTGGGCCTGTAACTCGTTGTGGAATAGCTCGGCCTCTTTCGGCTCGCAATGCTTGCACACCGCCTTGTCTTCCCTGTCCGGCGGTAAAACGGATTTACAACCCAAACAGGTCTCCTTTTTACGCGTGAAAGCCGCGAGCGCTCCGACTTGCGAGGTGGCGATGCATCTCGTGCGCGTGTGATCTCCCTTCAGCAGAAGCGACTCTGCCTTCTCACCGAGGATAGGTTCGAAGATACGCACGAGAGGTTTCGCCAATTGATTCTCCAGATAATAGGTCGTATCTATTGGGATACTGTTCTGCAACGCGTACACGGGATCTTCCGCCTTCTGGTGCGCCGGTGTGCCTTTAGCCGCGCTTGTAATCACGTACGCCACTCGGTCGCCAAGCTTCGGCGCGTTTCCGGCATCCCGTTTCTTCATCTTCGCCGCCAGCTCGACGTGCGCTTGCTTCGCCGCGTAATCTGTCTTTGTCAGTTCCTTCGTGATGACTAATTGAGACAGATCGATTCGATTACACAGGAGATCGCTGATGACCTGTTTGGCATAGTCCACGGCGGCACGTGGATTTCTGTAACACATTACATTACTTATTACTTATCCATAATATGAACACGCACGACTTTGATGAGGCATGAAAGAAGAAGCAATGTACCTTTCGATAAGCAATATTTGCAAACAGGTATTCATCATGTTCGCTACCAGTGGACAATTATCTCTGCGCACCGTTTCGAGACCTTTGCAATCCATCTTGTCGTACTTGTCGGGCTTCGTGAAATACAGGCCAGCATACCGTTTCTTGTTGATTAAGAGATACGGGAAATACACCTTCTCGAACTCCAGTTTTATAGGCTTGATGAATTTAGACGTCACGTATTCGGCTGCTTCTTTACCGAGTTTCATCGCATCTTCTATAGATTTCACGCCGAACTTTACCATCACGGAATCGGTGTCGCCGTATATGACTATCGCATCGTTTTTGTATCCATTTTCTATTCGAAAGCGATCCTCCACTTCTTGCTTCGTTTGTTCTATCATAGCGCGTCCATAAGCGGTGACGCTCTGCAATTATAATTGTTATATATAAATACTCTCTAACATATCCCACACAATGCTCCTCTCGTAATGATGTATCGAGGAATAGCGATAACTTACAGCAGATATTTCCAAGCATGGTAACTTTCCCATCTGCGCACCCGTGAAACCATACACGGAATTTGCCGACACTTTCAAAGCGTATTGCCTACCATCGAGTACTTTTTGCTTCAGTGGATCCGTTTCTTGCTTCAACTCTGTCTTTGCTTTCTTCCTGGCCGCTAATAAATTTTCCAAAATCTCCGGAAGGATCCCTTTTCTTACGGTGCTCTTAATAAATAACGAATTACTGGGAGTTGCAGTAATTTGATCCTCCGGAATATTGAGCTCCTTCTTTTTAGCAACGGTTAATAACGTCGTGTAACATAAATTGTGCGCCATGATAATACTAGGATACAAGGAACTGAAATCCAAAGTAGCTATTGGATCATTGTAGTAGCCACGCTTAGGTTCGATGACAGTCGCACCTTCGAATTGCTCGTCGGTACCGCGGCCCTGATGCGTTGGCATCAAGTAATCCTTTTCCTTAGTCTGATAACATTAATGAACACGCTTAGTCATCAGTCAAAAAGTTACTTCGTTTTGCATACATTTATTACCTTACGTAGAAGTTGAGAAACAACTTTGATTTGTTGCCCGCGAGTCAACAAGCTGGAAATGGATACTCCCGTAACTCTCGCCATTTCCATATAGATAATAATACACATTAGCTTGTCCAATAGTCTAAGTGGTAAGTAGGCGTCTTTCAAACAGTATACAGCCAGACGTCGACGTGTCTGCGCATTGCCGTTTTGTAATCCCGTAATATCCTTATGCTGGACATCTTCTTTTTGTTCTTGCAGGAAATGATACGACACCGCGTTCAAGGTGTAAGATCTCAGTTTATAATCTCGGACCAGTACCTAAAAAGTACGTATTTTTATTGAAGCTATAGGATACCAGAGAGAGAATAGTGTTCACATACAAATTTATTTACCAGTAATAAATCGAACGGGACTCTCCCTTCAAAATTAATCGATTTGTTCTCACGACGACCCATCTGTTTACTTTGCAGTACATGATCCTTGATCACAGACTTTATGTTTTTTATTCGACCGAGGAAGTTGAAATTCTTAACATTGAGATGCTGCGCGCGATTAATTAAATACGGAAAGTCAAAATTGTTTATGTTATATCCAGTGAAAATGTCAGGATCTGATTGTCGCACAAAGTCAGCCCATTTCTTGCAACAGAAAGTAGTGTTGTTAACATACAATTGATATACTGGATTGAGTCTTTTTCTACGTTTTAATTACCTTACCTCTAACATTAAACTTTCTTTGTCAAAACTCAGAACCTGGGAACCGACGATAGGCGCGCAAGTATCGAGGGTGAAAATATTTCTCAAAAATGGTTCGGGCTCGCCCTGCCTTATGACCATATTGGCGATTTGTATCACGGGGTCATGTTTCGCTTCAGGAAAGATACCTGTAACAAATATTTATAATTAGATCCATAGCGTCAGTTAATGAAGAAAATAATAATTACCTTCGCGTCCAGCGCACTCGATATCGAAACTGAGAATTCTGAACGGTGCTACTTTTGACCATTCTCCTTCCGGAGCATGAGCCACAAAAGCATCCCATGCAACATCCACTTCCAGCTGGCATCGTGTAGTCAGTTCTAACATGTGCCCATGCTGGCCACGTAATTTCCAGTTTCCTGGTACTAATTCGATCCAAGAACAGCCGACAACTGATGTATCAACCATGAACCTTGCATTTAAATGACAAAATATAAATTTAATGTTATAATTTTTACAAACATGTAACATGTAACAAATGTAGGAACAATACAGAACGCTGTGTCTAAGCTACCTGATATCAAAGTCGATGTTACTTTCAAATGCTCTGTAATGATAATTAAACGCGGTATAAACCGTGTCTTGTTCTAATAATCTCTTGCAAGGTGCTATCAATTTTGGAACTGCTACTGTAATTTTCAAGAATGGCAATTTGTCGTTCCCTCCGTATCCATACACTGACTGTTTGTAGACCAATTCGACTGCTAGGATGGCGTCTTGTATGTTATCTGGATTTGATTTCATATCCTTCTTCACAGCTTGATTAAGGGCTTCCTGTATTGAGAAGATTCCTATGTTAATCACTTCTTATAACACTACAAAGGAAGAAAGTTTTCCCACCATAATAAACATACTTTAAATAGTTTACAATGATTGTTTGTGAAATTCGATGGCGCTGATACGAACAGGTACGGGCAAAAGCCATGGACGTGACAACAGACGGAATTTCCTTGCTCCGTAACGCCAAACATCCTAATTATCGGTACAGGTCCTATTTTACTACCTGGCATTCCATGAAGGGGTTTACCTGTACACAGTCACACAAGTTTCGCAATACTGACAACATTTCTGACTGACAGAGTCGTTCTGTGTTGTTTTTGACATACAAATGCATCTTCAAAATCTATTATTACCTATGTAATGGTCAATTTCAATTTGCTGGAATGTCAGCGTATCAATTTTTGGATTCAAAGGTGGCGGTGGAGCTCTGCTCCACTTTGCAGATGTATTTTCTTGTTCGGGTCCCTGTATGCATAAAAGAGATATATTAGTAAATATTATAATGAATAGCATAGAACGTAAATTACATATATTTAATTAAACAAGAAGTCACAATGTTGTACGTCAAAAAAATATGACTTACTTCTCCGATTAAGAGAGTCTCATCGAGAAAATCATCATCTGCAAGATCCATAGTGGCCAGTTCTGTCTCAAACGAACTAGGCGTCTCCTCATCTTCGTCCCTACTGGATAAAATTAATGCAGAAACTTGAAAATGTTGCATTACAAAAACTCAAGTTATTTAAAATTAAGTAATATTCTAAATAATAGTAGTTGAACACAAATATCAGGAACAAAATGTTATTGAGAGGATAGGCTAATGGAAACAACTAATATTTGTTCACATTTTATACAGAAAGAAAGTATATACTTAAAAATTAAATTAAATTCAGATTTAGATAAACGGAAAATGTGCAGACACCGATTCTGATAGCACAAGACACAAAAAAGTACTAATTAACGTAACGTCATGACAAACTGTTGTAAATAATTGAAGATACAACGTGTAGACAGAAGTGTAGAGGTTAGGTGTGACGTTCAACAGCGAAAGGAATAATCACCTAAACTTGGGCTTCTTCGCCGCCGAGGGTGTCGAAAACGGTTTTCGATTTACTTTACTCATGTCTCCAGTCGTGACAAGTGATGCTTCTACAAAAACATAAAGCACGGAGCCGCGAATGCCGCGATGCTCATCGATTAAACACAGAAAGGCGGGAACGGTACTGATCCCATTGGTTGGTTCACCAAGCTAACTTGACAACGGGTGTTGCTCCGCATTAGTGAAGCGTATACCCGCGAGGCGCACCCCAGGCGCGACGACCTTCAGGTAAACATTGGCCAGCGTAACGTCGTACGATCCGTGGACTGTTGCTACGTTTTGTCTATTATTCTGCGGACTTATTGGTACCGATTAAATAAACGATTAATTCTGTTCAATCGAGAAAATGTATCGGAAGAAAAATCATTGTTACTTAAATTCGAACTACTGAGATTAGAGATTTTACCTCAATAGTTGGTGTATACAAATGTATATTTCTAAATTGCAAATTTACTATGAATTTAAAAGAGAAGTGAAGCACACCGCGCTTCGAGAAAACATACATAGGTATATCCCAAAAAAATATTTTTCCGAAAATTTAGAACCCTAGTCGAGCTTATTTGCATTTTTATTAACGATCATTTCAGTTAAAATGCTGCGGAATCAGATCATCCAAAGACTGGATCGTCAAATGGGCAATTTGCAAAGTTGTTGTTCTACATTAATTACACAGGTAAATTTAAAGAAACTTATTTAAAAAAATCTTCCAAATATCTGTAGCCGAAAATACAAAAGGAAGAGGAGGAGTATTATTTGTGTAATTGTTGTGTGTTGAATAGGATATTGAATTAAAATAGATATAATCTATAGCTTAAACAACTATGGGGAACATATTAAAATAGCCTTCGTCTGAAAGCTACATCCGCTCGTAGTCGTGGAAGGATTGCGCCAGTCACGTCTTGATCCATTTTCTGCCAAGCGGCAGAACTTGGAGCATGCATTTTCTTTTTCCTGCCGGGAAATGAGTAAGTTGCGTTCACGCGCGGCGCACATCCGGTCGCCTAATAATATCCGGATCCCTCTTACTCCTCTCGCGCCCGGGGATCTTCTCTTTTTCCTGTTTCTCGGGAGGCACGACGGCTCGTCATAATTTTCAGCCGGTCAACTGCAATAAACTACTTCATCAGCAGATAATTCCCAGACGGCCGATATTTGTATAATATAAGCGATAGAAATTAAATGAGTCAATAAAATTTCGTATTTACTCAATAACCGTAATTATGATTACTGCATATATTAATATTATTAATTTGCTTTAATTCGTGTTAGCAATTTATTTAATTACAAAATAAATATATTATCCAATATCAGCGGCGAATTTATATGAAATGGATAGAACCGTCGTATCGCCAATTTGGAAATAAACAGCAATTAATTCAGAGTTCCTGATTTATTCAAACGATTTTCAGTGCCTGCACGTGACGGAGGATGTATCTTATAAATCTGGATGCTTAAAAGGGGCCGTAATGCTAGTAAAATCGTACGTTAAAACTGCTCTATTTCCACGCTTGTCATATTTCCACTTCTGGTAAATCAGAGCTCATTACTCTCTTGCCCTCGTGTTACATTCAATACGAAAAGAATCAAGAGAATTATTCACATTTCAATTAATCAGCGTGCTTTTAGCGCTTGGTTTACGCAAGGGGTTGAAAGCGAATCGCCCAACGAGAAACGAAGAGATCAATTTGTGACGACATCGAGGGTGCGCGTTACTTAGAAGCGAATGACAAGTCCGGTGAAACGTTTTCCCGTTTTTTATTATCATATATAGATCATATATTTTCTGAAAACACTTAATATATTGTACTTAAGATAGTAATATTGTAAGTTTATTGGACATGCTGGTTGGATCGCCGTCTGCCGCGTGGCAGTGGTTCAAGTGGAAAAGTCCGTAAATCACTCACTTCCGACGCCTCTACGATGATCACCGAATCGGGATTGTGTTTTCAACACGCGGAGGGGAAGGGGGAGGCGAAAAAATACATTTATAAAAATTACTCGTGACCATCGTAACGCTCTCGTTCACGGAAAGGGTACAAATGGAAACGGGGAAGAGGGAGGGAGCGAGTGTTTGATGGCGGGGGATGAGTTCTTCTTTTCTCGCCTTTTCCTACGATAAAATGGAGCGTCTTACATGAAATCGATTGCCTGTCGATGCGATACGAAATATTGACGTAGTGATAATTCAACGCGCGCGATGCACCTGTCGTTTTCTTTTCCATTTATCCTCTCCTCTAAATTACCGTTAAACGGCCGCGGCAATCGACGCCGCGTTTGTGTATGGTGTGTACGTGTGTACATGCTTTTATACATCTATGTCCCGTACCCGCGTACGGGATGCATGTATGCGGATCTAGCTGCGGGATTGGGGCGAGTGAAAGGGGACAAGGCTTTGGGCGCAGTTTCAGGCAGGTTCCCATCCAATTACAGATATATTATATCATAGCAAACATCGTGACTATTTACAATAAATACAGTTGATTAGGTTATATAAATAAAATATATATAATATCGTATCGTTAGGTTTAGGTTTACAGCAACACGTGACAGTAAACAATTAGATCAGCGGCAAAGTAGCGTAATCTATCTAGGGTAGTGGTCGTAGTAGCTTTTAGCGTGGCTGACTCTTCCGTTCGCCGTTTCGCGCTCGCTTAATCTTCGATATCTCTCATTTTCACGCTCTCCTTCTCTTCTTCCCTTCTTTCGTTCACGTTCTACATTTATCAGTCTCGCGTATTCAACTGACTTCCGTCACGTTTTCCGGAATTCCGAATTCTTCCCTCTCCCCCCCTTTTTTTTTTGCGGCGTGGAGTCGCGCTCGAGAACCAATCGCGCCGCAAATGCGTGGGTCGACGATTACTGCTATAATTGGCCACTCTAGCTCCTCTTGTGTGTGTGTATATATATATTTATTTATCATCTCAATATATTTATATATTTATATTTATTTATTTATCTCACATAATCATTATTTCTTCGCGCGTTCTACTTCGTTTCTTCTTCTTCTTTTTATTTATTTATTTAGAGAAGTACGTGGAGTTTGTCGCGATCCCCCGCGGGCGGACGCGGGGGGACGAACGAATCTGGAACGAGTTCGCAAAAACGAGAGATGAAACTTCACGGAAGTTAGAGAGTGAATTCTTCTTCTTTTCTAATATTACAATCGCGTGAGACGGGGGTCGGGCCTCGAGTCGAGTTTTGAGGGCCCTGCCCGTAACGACATGTATATCGCGGCTACCTGGCCCGCTCGTTAATTTGACACGTGATATTTAAAAAATAGTCGATTCTTCTTGAACGCACCGTTTCCGGGTCCAACAGCGGATAATACGGCTATGAAGATGAAGAGCGTGAGGGCAGTGTAAGGGGCAGTGAAGGGGAGCGGGTGTGAGAGGGTTGGCTGGCCAAGGGGGAGACGATGAGTGTTTAGATGTGCACGAATGTCGAAGCACTCCTATTTCGCTTATCTCGGAGAAAGCAGAAGCCCGCGGAAGATTAACGGAAATTACCCTCAAATATTATCCTCGCGGAATTGCCACCGTTGCTGAAAGGAGAGACTCGGTGGCTGTCTCGTTATTACAATTGCATTGAATAGAGTTATATTCGACGTCGCCGAGGGTCGTCGTTATTATTAATAAATTTGAATGCCACTTTCTAAAGCGATTGCTTCTAAGAAATCGAATTGAACAGCCAGAGTAAAATTATTTGGAGATTAATAGTTTCGAGATTCACGTTCGCTATTTTTCCATATATGAAAGTGCTCCCTAAAGGTAAGGTTGAAACAAAGCGAAATACAATTGTGTCGGTATACGCTTGGATAAGCGAGGGAGGAATGCGGCTCGACGATCGAGCCCGTTTCGCGCGGCCGTTTCCGCGGGAGAACGCGATGATGAGTACGCGCGGATACGGATGTGGGATATTTACGGCGCGATTTTAGCGAGTCCCGTGTGCCATCGTTTCGCGCGTGCGAACGAGACCGCGAAATGTACAAAAAGGATCGCCCTTGCGGCCTCGTCGGCACGCGCGAGCGCGCGCGTGCCTCCGGTGGGAGGGCGTCTTGGACCGCGATTAAAAATTGCCCAGGCACAACGCGACGCCGTAAAAGAAGCCGCAAACCTAATCTTTCAGACACCGTCTGGACACCTTTCGACAATCTTTTACGATTTTGCGTTGTTGGGTAGCGTAGGTCTAAACACTCGCTCGAGTTAAAAATACGTCACGAAGCTTCGCTATCGCTCTCTTTCTCTCTCTCTCTCTCTCTCACTCTTTCTCGCTCTATATTTATATATATATATATACTTTTTTATACACTCAGCATATAGATAACATTTTTTTATTCTTCATCTATTCAGACAGCAATGTCGTTGTGCCACTAACTATCCATAAACGGCACCGTCTCTAAAGCCGCATTGCAAAATATCAATGGCGAGTACGAACGTTCGTGGAGACGCGAACAAACAATACGTGCGATAAATCGACGGATTCGGGATCTTCATGGGGGAGGGAGAGAGTGGAGGGAAATGAGAGATGGGAGAAGGAGGAGGATTGGCGGGTGATAATGCAATGATTTCCGAGGCTAAGGGTGGTTCGATGCACGTATGTGGGTTCTGTGCGCGAGCGAATCGGCGCGCACACACACATGCACGCACATACACACATATGCACCCGCGTGCGCACATACGCAAACACACGCACATATACACACGCATACACAGGCGAAACGATCGTTACTTGGCGGGCAGTAATTTTGGATACACATACTTAGTACTCTCGGTGAGGAAACATAGTTAACGTCCGTTACGTTCATATCCAGCAAGCACAAATATGCGATATTGTATACGTATTATTTTTACCGACAATGAGTTTGTCCCTCTCTTTCGAATTTCCTTCGAGTTTCCGGCTTGTACGCACAGACATCGGCTCGCACGCCCGGCTCGCATTTCCTCCCCGCGATCTCCGAGAATCACGGGGAGGACGTCCCACCCCGAGTCGATCCCGAGCGACCTTGTCCTCCCGCGCGCTCGCTCGCGCGCGCACGACGATGCGATATCAGATCACCGATCGGCGACGATCGGGTACGCTTATACGCTACGGATAGGACACATCCACATATTTAAAAATACGCTTAGCATCTCGCTATTGGTATCCGACGACCTCATGCACGCGCATCCTCGCGATCATCGCTGATCCTCTCTCACTCCACCGCTCATTCGTTCACACGTTCTCTCGCCGTACAAGAAAAGCACCACTTTATAATACAAATTCATCTCGTCCTTAATTGCCTAAAGCCGCAAAACGGAATTCAAGCTCGAGACCGCGCGATCGAGTCCGCACGATCGCTGGCTCCTAGTCCTCCTCGAGGACCCCGTGAGAATCGGCCTCTCCTCCGAGAGCCTCTTCCTCGCCGGTCCTCCGCCACTTCTCCGCCGGGGCCATTCATGGTTGAGACACGTGTCGCGCGTTCCCCATTCGTTTCCGCGCTCGGCTCTCTCTCGCTTTCCGCATTCGTATTCGTCACCGCGCGAATACCGTACTCTCGTCACACGCCCGCCGTTGCTTCCTGTTCCTTTCTTTTTTTTCCTAAGTACGACGTTAAAATATCGCCGGCAGGGCAAACACGCGTGGCTCGTCAACGGTGTCGTCAACGGCGTCGCTCCTCCCGACTCGCGCTCTCTCCTCACATTTATTCTATGCCGAAGAAGGCTGCTGATGTCAATGTAAAGCTACGTATTGACTAGTTTCTCTCACTCTCTCGTCGCTCTCAACTATGAATGGCCTGTAACTCCCCCCCCCCCGATTTTTCTTCTCTCTCCTCGCTTTCTTCGCGATATAATTATAATTACCTTGTATCGATACGGTGTACCGTCGAGCGTGCACGATTCGCACGCGCGGCACCACGGTCCGCCGTTTACCTTAGGCCTCGAGCGCAAGCTCCACGAGCTTGCCGGCCTTGCCTCTCGCGAATCACGTCATCAGGAGTACGCCGCGTCCTGGGAATTCGAACCTGCAAGCTGGTCCACGTCGCGCCGAACTCACAGAAGGGATCTCGCAACGTTCCCCCTTCCAGGCTGGCGCGCGCGTCCGGGATCCCGATTTTTTTTTTCTTGTCCTCTGCTCTCTCGCCGTCGCTCGTAAGGCTTTCGCGGATCTGCCAATCGCGGGTCGGTCGCGCCGCTGGTCCGGGGAGCGAGTACTCGGTGAAACCCGCGTTCCTCCGCGTGCGCTTAACGTTCTTACACCCTACGTACCCTATTCCTCGTGGTGGTGTATATATATATATATTTATATTTATAATATATTATATATAATATAACGTTATAGTGTTTTTGGCATCTTTGAAATACACAAATAGACTTTGGTATAAAACTTTTTGATAGTGTTCAGTACGTTTATATATATGCGCGTGCATATATACGGACGCTGCGCTACAGCGTGCTACAGCGGCATTCTTTTACCCCCTTCGTCGACTTTCACGTTTCCGGTACCCCCTGCCCTCTCCCTATCCCTCGCTATCTCTGGTGTCGCTCACTCGAAAGTCCCGCGGCTTCGATACTGGACAATGTCCCCGCGCGAGGGGACGGTACGACCGACTCTCAAATCGCTCTAGCACATCTTGTCTAACCACCAGAGCTTACAGGACGGCGCGCCTCTCCTCCTGCGTCGCTTCTTGCTCGACTGGTCGACGGCCTTCTTCACGAACCTGATGTTGTACGGGTCCTCCGCGAGCTCGGGATACTGTTGCGCGTCGTGGATATACTCGCCCTCGTAGTTGGACGCGAGGCCGACCTTCAGTATCTCGTCCTGCTCGGCGACCATCCACTCGACGGACGTGGGGGTGTTCGTTTTGAGAGACTCGCGTTCCCGGTGCCACGCCTTCCTGATGGCGGTCGCCTTCGCGTGATGCAACAACCTCTGCTTCTCCTTCTCCGCCGTGGTGCCGTAGCGCAAGTTCACCACGTAGCTGGCGCCGTGTATCTTCACGTCGATCAGCGAGCTGCTGCCGCTGCCGTTCTCATTCTCGTGGAACGTCGTGTTCACCTGACCCCCGAGTCGTTTCAGCTGGCCGCGATCCTCGCTCGCGCGCCAGGTTTCCTCTTTGACGAAGTAGAAAGCGTCCTGCTGCGCGCTGTGCACGACGAACGTAAATGGCAGGAAGTACGAACGATTGAACACGGACGTGAATACGTCGCCATAAATAGCGTTAGCGCTGGGCACGCTGGATACCACCGCCTGGCCATCGGCGGTTCTCGACACCAGGATGCCCTTGCCGAAGGGCGGATCGGACGCTGCACCCAGGCGGCTGGGTATCAGCTCGCTCGTGTCCTTCTTCAAGGCCGACCGCGGCGGCGCGGACAGGCTCACCGCGTCGCCCGAATGCCTTTGGGCGATGTGCGCGAGGAAACCAGACTGGACGCCCTGATTGCGCGTTCGTTTCTTTTTACCGAATATAGAGGTTCCCGGGCCGAGCGCTCGCGGAACGAGACTCTCCGGCAGCTCGTCTGGGAACAGCTGCGGCGCTAAACTCTTCAGATCATATCCGAGATGCGACAGCCATGATATGTGATCTGGAGGACAGAGATACGTCGAATGCGCATTGCCGTAAATTGGATCATCGGTGATATCCGACGCGAACTTACCGGTTGGTTGACTCGGTCTGTCCGTGTGTCTGACGTCGATCGGATCGTTTCCGTTAAATCTATAAAGGTGTAGGTGCGTCGGCTTGTCTACGCGATCCAGAACGTTCTCCCAGAGCGGCGACATCCACTGTCCTATCAGCGGATCGTAAACCTTACCGTTCGGCATGTGAACAAGAGAGGTGACCTGTAAATAGATTGTACCGTTAAGACACAACGTACGACGAGTAGTATTTTAACATCATTAAAGTGCTTCTGAATAATAAGTTTCATCTTATTAATTAGGGTACGACAAGAAATTGTCACCTGATCTAGAAGTCCCCCACAGAAATCGACCGGTAAGTAAAGATATGGATTCGAATCGTAAACAATGTGGCCGTAGGGCGATCGCATAATTTCCCGGATGCCTTCGCCGTATTGGTTGAAGATCATAATGGGGGTACCGCACTGATCAGTGGCGATGTAATACTTGTGCCGGTACACTTGCGCATAAATAAGATGTCCTCTGTCGTCGTAGACCAGCGACATCAGTTTACCATCGCGCGGGCTGTATATCTGGCTCACTTCGTGCGGCCGTTTTTGATTGTTGTAGAAGAACTGCGTGACATTGCCGTAATTGTCCTTTCTCGTGGCCAGGCGGTCCAGGTGATCGTAATAGTATCGCACGTCGAAACGGCCGCGTTTGGTGGCGCGCACGAGGAGACCCTTGGCATTGTAATTGAATCTCTCCTCTCTCGCATTCTGCACCACCAAACCCCGGTTGTCGTACTTGTAGAGGCCCTCGCCAAACTTGACTATTCGGTCCATGGCGTTGTACTCCATCGGGATCGTGTTACCTCGATATGTGAGCGACAACATATTACCGTTGGCGTCGTACTTGAAACCCCACGGCTCCTGCGCCTCCACGCCGGTCAACTGGCCGTCGCAGTCCCACGTGTAATTTTTCACGTTGGTATACGTGTTAACAGCGACGTTGCGCGTGTACGTTCTCGTCTGATTGATGCGGCCGCGTGAATCGTGCGTGAACTCCATCCTAAACACTTCCATTCGATGGATCGTCACCGTGACCTGAGTCTCCAGGAATCGGTCGTCCGTGGTGCGCGAGAACAGCGCAGTGCCGTCGAACACGGTCGTTTCATTCGACTGCGGCTTCGTCACCTTGAATTGGCCGATCTGCTCCAGCGTACCCGACCTCGGACTGTAAGCCATAGTGTGCGGCGGTAGCGTCTGGCCGCCTATTCTACCCTGCACCGCGATCAGCCGGAAGTTGGAATCGTACTCGAAAGTGAATTTGGCGTTGCTCAGGCCGGTCTTTGCGCCGAAATCTATGCGCTCCTCCACCAGAAGTCCCGCGCTATACTGATAATCCCACTTGTACTCCACGTCTCTTTCAGAGTGTATCACCTCGGATGGTAGTCCACTCTCGGTGTACCTGATCTCGCTTTTGCCATCGCCGTGAACGATCTCCGCCAATTGTCCCGAGGAGTGATATCTGTAGACGATACGAGCTCCGTCTCCCGGGAACACGGTCTGTAGTAAATTCCCATCGTGACTGTAGTGCTGCAAATAGGCTCTGGTGCTGCCGGGTGGGGTGTACGTTACCCTGAGGAAACCAAGAGAAGCCTGACAGGAGAAGGAATGCTTGGTTTCTGACGGTAGAATGATATGTCGCAGTCCACCGTCGTCGTCGTATTGCAACGAGAACTGCCTGTTGCTGGCGAGCGTGATCTTCGACAGCATGTTGAAGTCGTTATACGTGTACCGTTTCGTGCCGTCCTTGCTATTGGTAATCTCCGCCAGTTGGCCGTGTCGGTCGTAGCCATACGACTCGTCGGAGGCGCCCCATTTCCAGCTCTCGATCCTGTTGAACCGATCGTAGGCGATGCTGAGGTTGTGGCCTTGCTCGTACGGTTGCCATACCAAGGGTAGGCCGGCCTGGTCGAAGATCACTGTCAGTAGGGGAGTGCCCGCCTTGTCGTAGAACGTCTCGCGGCTGAACGCCTGCTCAAATTCGACGCTTATCACTCGCGTGTCGTTCACCCAGATCTCTCTGTTGAGCGTCTGCTGAGGATGGCTAACTTCTCCGACCAGGTTGTACGTCGTCGTCATGGTGTTGGTTAATTCGCCCAACGACATCAATTGGTAGCTCCACATGGGCAGCATCTCCGCTTCCACCGGCAAGGCCGGCTTCAAGAGCGGGTGTTTCGTTGTCGCCGCGCTCAATATTCTACCGCCGCCAGGTAGGAGCACCTCCAGGCTGCTGTTCGTAAATGCGATTGCTTTCAGGAGTTTGGTGCCTATACGAATGACAAATTATATGTTAGAGCAATCATTTTCGTGTTTTTAACAATATTCGCGAGGAAATTGGAATATACTCGTATATCGGAGGGAAGATAGATTACACGAAGATCAATTAAACAGAGATAATACATACCGTCAGTGACTGTCAACATCTTCGATTTCTCGTTTCTCATCTCAAACTCCACGATTCGCTGCTTATCGCCTTTCGATAAAGCTTGCAACGGAGCGGACACTTTAACCAATAGACCTTCATCGTCAGATAAGTCCGATAATAATTTCAATTTCTCGCCTGTCGGCAGTATTACGTCAGTGACACGTCCTAGACTGTCGTAATTGTATATATACGTTTCATCTCCCTGAAATTGTAACGTTGCATCTCATCAATAGGAAATAATTTATCCACGAAAAAGTCTATACAATTCTTTCGTTATGTATGATTAAGTGAAGAAGAGAGAAGAAATATTCACTCAATCAATGGGCCAAAGCTATTCTTCATTAACGAAGATGAGCAATAAAAATTTGCAACTTACTCCTGATCGACTGGTGAGCAAACCGGTTGAGCCGTCGTAACCCAAAGCGATCTCCGCCCTGCCGCGTTCGGACAGCTTTTCCAGGAATCCAACCGCGGAGATTTTCAATTCGGATTTATGATCCTGAGTGTTCTCGATGGAGCTGACAACGCTACTGTAATCCCGCAGGAACTGGATCTTATTGCCCGCGCTGTCCGTCACCGTGGACAACTTGCCGAAACTCGTGTTCTTGCTGTACAGGAAGGAGTAGCGAGTCTTTCCGGACGTCAGGTCTTTCGTGGAGATGTGCTGGCCGTAGCGATTGAACACATAGATCTCGTTCGAGGGTGGAAACGGGATGCGGAACTCCCCGTTCTCGTCGTGATTCGGAAGATACGGCTGGAGAGCCAGGATGTGAAGACTGCCCTGATCGGCCACGTGCAGAACACCGTCCGGCGAAACCGCGAGGGCCGATATCGCGGTGAACTTGGCGTTTGACGAGAGGAGCGTCTCGGTGCTGCTGGTATCGTCCGTGCAGGTGCACGTGTCCATGTCCTTGGTACTGGGCGTGGTATTGTTGCACTCGCATTGACCGCGCAGTCTCTCCTGCTGCTGACCCGCGAAGTGCGACATCTTCCCGGAGGAATCGACGATCCTGATAGAGTTGACGCGGTGAGAATCACGATCCGCTATATACAGTTCGCCGGTTGGACTGAAACCGACGGCCAGCACCGATCCGAGGACCTCGTCCGGCTTCTTCAGGCTCGTCGTCATCGACGAGTTCAGTTTCGGCAGTTCGTCGTTGCCGTTGTTGTTGCTGTTCGCGTTGCTGGTGCAGTGAAGAGGCGTGCCGGCGACCACGCGCACCTTCAGGTCGCTGGTCAGCTTCAAGACTAGTCTGTCGTCGATGAAGTGCAGGGATCCGTCCAACGGACTCAGGGTCAATCCGGTGGGCCATTGTAACTGAGCCTGATGCGCGGGAATGGCTCCGATGCAGGGAGCGGGTGACCAATGATTATGATGACCATGATGACCCACGAGTGTATGTATGATACCTCGAGGATCGACGGCCCGGATGTTCGTTCCGTCGGCAATGTACATCGTTTTATCGGCCGCAATTGCGATTCCTGTAGATTACAACAAAAAATCACATCCTTAAAATCTTTTGCAAGCGGCTATTTAATTCACAAATCTCTCGGTTTGCCGTTTCGCAAAGTTATCCTTTAGATCACTCGAAATAATCCCAACGGCGCAAGCGCCTGTTGAGAAAATGACAGACGTAATGAAATTTGCCCGTTACCTTTGGGATGAGCCAATTTTGCATGGATGGCTTGACCTTCGTCACCGCAATGACCCTCGTCACCTGGGATACACCTCTCGCCGCTTCCGACAACGGGCTCGATATTAATGCTGGGATCTTGGACTTGTTCCAACGAGAGGGCTTTCAATATCTGATGTTTCTCCGGGTCGCTGATATACAAGTGTCCGTCAGCCGGCGAGATACACAGATAATACTGATACGCCACTTGAGTAGCGCTGTAAAAGATGGGATACGTGTTCAGATTAGGTTTGAACCGTCGCCGGGCCTTCGGCTGGAAAGTCCTGCGGAAAAGAGAAAATGAGAGAAAAATGAATTACCTCAAAATCAGGACGGTGTAAACCTTCCCTTCGGGCGTGATTCTGCGCACGAGATTGAAGTCTCCGACGTATATGCTGCCGTCGGGTCCGCTGGTGAGTGCCACCGGCGTGAGGAGTCTGGCGTCCTTGGCGAGACCATCGCAATTCTGACACACCAAGCTTCTCTGGAGGCCGGTGCCCATTACTACTTTCACAGTACGCGGATACTGTTTGAAATGTAGAGTAGAGCCGTCGCCCTTCTGCAGGATCCCTTCGTGGAAGTTGTAATGGTGATGGATGTCGAGTCCCCAGCCGCCGATATCGGAGATATCGACGTCGAATCCCTGCAAAGTGGCCGTCTGCGTCTCCCATATCACCGACGGACAAGTGGAATGCTGATAGCCGATCGAGATCCTCGCCTGCGCCACACCGTACACCTTCTGCTTGTAAACGTTTCTCTTGTTCCAAGCGAACGTGTGCGTCAGATTCGGGTCGGCCTCGTACGTTTTCGTGTGAAGCGAACCCTCGATCTCCACGTGCACGTGTACGTGCGTCAGCGATTTCGGGATGAACGGCCCGGTCAGTTGCATCCTCACGGTAGAGAGATAGCCCGCAGCCTGACTGCTTTGATACATCAAGTGGAGATTGGAGCCCGGAATTGCGATGCTTTCCTGCACGATCTGCAAGCGATGTTTAACGTTGCGTTAATGCGGTCGCACGCTGCTGTAATCTCGTAAATATTGTTGCATTCGTGCATTCGTGCAGTCGTCCTTTGACGACACTGCTTCTTTCGTTCTCATTTCGAAGCCTCGCGCTTTCTGTTCAGACGCGTTGAGATCGGTACCGAGGTAACTATGTCATGCAAAATTTTCATCGTCCCAACTACGAGACTTTGTTTCGATTGGCGCAACGAGAGTGTTACAATTAAATCGTTCGCAAAGTAGAAACTTACTTGGCTCTCGGCAAAGACCAAGCTCTTGCCAGGCAAGCCGCCAACTTTTTCCGGCATCCACGTGCTAACGATAATTGGCCGTAGCGTCTCGTGATCGTGCTCCAAGCACGGGCCGTGCTCGCTAAAGAGTCCCATTGAAATCCCTGGGAAGCCTATTATATTGTATTCCGTAAATGATAAGGAACTCAAAAATGCATAACACTCAAGGACGGAACAAAGACGGCACACACGTTCAACAGCTCTGGAAACAACGCCGCGAAGATGCACGGATAACGGGCTGCGCGAGATCCGATCCGACGTGGTCGCGGAGCGCAATAATAAATTACGCGGACCATCGCAAACGGAACTTTTGCAAATAATACAAAAAATGTCCATTCGTTTCTTTTGTTATCTCTTCTTTTCCCTGCACGCCGGGATCGGTTTCAGGTGATCGAGCACGTACGCGCGCGTTTATCGAAACGTTTGTGACGTTAATGGGTAACGCGATCCGACACGTAACACGATGAGATATATGTGTACCAGGTCGACCGACTAAAAAAAAAAAAGCGGAAAAAAGGGAAAAAATCCGTAATACATATCCGAGGCTCGGAGATGCTTACCAACTGCCGGGCTCGGTGGCTGGTTAGATTTATACGATTCGCCTTCCTTGCTCAGTATCATGACAACGGGCGGCAGAACCACGATCTGATTCCAGGGTACGAAGACGGTCCTCGTGAGGGGTTTGAAGGGGCTGCGCTGGAATTGAAGCGTCACGGCGCCTCCGCCATTGACCAGGACGTCGAACCTGATCAAAGTACGTAAATGCATTTCGAACTCCATTGCCGCCGGTATTACGTAAGGATCCGACGTAGGTCGATCAAGATAGTGCGCCCGCTTTATCCGAGAATGAATGTCCGACGAGACCTTAGAATTGGAACGCGCGTCTTGAAAGTCCCTCCGTCCCGTTTGATTAATTTTTTAACCGCGGCGCATCGTTGAATAATACAATTTCTTTTAAACATTTTCTCACACAGAAAAATGTATCCCGGCTGTGCCAAATAATAAAAATATTCCTATTCAAAATGGACGCATCTTTTCTAAAATGTAAAATGAAGAGAGCCGCATGAAAGTTTCAATGTAATATAAATAATTATTAAAAAAAAACAGTAATAGCTTTCAAAGTATTAACAATGTGTAAGTTTAAAACTTTTCCTAGAAGGCTTATTATATGATTGTGCTAGCCCTATTTATCGAACAATGGAACGAAGTAGATTTTTATTTATACGTGCTTTGTAATTTCTCCCTTTCAGCTCGTTCGTTATTTAAGTTTGTACCTAGATTCAAAAGTACGCTATGGAATTTAATGAAGTAATATTCCTTCTCATATAAAATTACTGGCTTCTCTGAAAGTTGGAGCGCGGAAACAAAAACTGCAGAGCATTTTTAACAGGATTTATAGTAGCACTGTACTTATTGTATTATTAATGTAGTTAGATTTAACGTCGCCATTCAACTATTTATGAAGTAATTTTCATACACACATATATACACACACGTTTACAAAGGCAATTTTTCTCAGATAAAATGAAACATCCCGAGAGACCGATCGTCTCTTATACCAAAATAATTTTTAATATTTCACTTCTGTGCGAGATTTCGCGTATTAAAATTTTGGTTGCGCAAAACTTGGCAAAATGTAAAATCAGATTTCGCATTAATATACACGGTCAAATTGTTGTACGCCGAAAAATTCATCTTAGTTGTAATGCGCTGTAACGATATTATAATTGAAGGTGCGTCAATGAATAGAATAATACGTACGCGCTTGTTATTTCGCATTTATGAACATTAATTACGAGTAGGCGCGGTGTTCCGGTCGTTGGATTAATATGAATTAAATCGGAAGAGAATGCCCGAAACAAAGTTTCATAACGAGTAGATTCGGTCGATATGCGAACGCACATTTCGACGACCCGCGATGCACCGAGGGCCACGGATCGAGCCGCGGTACCGTAGGTTTGCACGGAGTAATTAGTAAGCTTTCGACATCATTAGCTCGGGCTTTGATGCGGTCTAGTATCCCAACTCCTCCGCTTTCCTGTTTCAGAATTATTCTCGCCAGGATTGCTGTATACCCTCGCCTGATGTAGTCGTTGCCGACTACATCCCCCTACCACCCCCTTTCATTACAATGCAGCCTTGATACTATCGCGCAGGACATCCAACCCCGGCCCTACATGTCGTGCTCATCGCATGTGCAAATGCTAATACGGCGATGATGACGGCGGCGCGCGCGCGCGCACGTTCGCCGCCGCTATACTGTAAACGGGTGTAACAACGGGCGCAACTCTTTCCACGAATCCCTTTCTATCGCCGCTAATATATTATCCACGATAGCATGACCCACTTGTTTCACGCACGACACTCGAGAATAATTAGCAATTAGCAGATACGGATTTGAGATTACGCTCTTAAATGTTCTCAGAGCGCGATGGTAATGCATATATAATAATCTGGATTACGCTCGTGGTATCCGTCATTTACGTTATGGATGTCTGTCATTAATCGTGCAAATCCCTCTTTCAAAATAATATTATGCCGCAGTAATAACTACATCGGCTTAAAATACGAACGGCATAATTGCCTCTACGTGTGTAATGGCGAATTATTAATACGAATTACTATCCATTACCATATCTATTAGGGACAAACCAGAATGCACGTTTAAAATCATTTATATCATTTACACGCATTCATGAAATTATTTCAATTCCGGAATTTCATCCGACTCTTTAGGCTAAGAGAAACGACGAGGTTTTTCGCCGCATAACATACGAATATCGGAGCGCACTATCATAATCGACCTATTTCTTCTTTCAAATGCGCCAGTGCCTTAAAAATTAATTTGTCTTTGGCATTTAAGTATTTCAATTAACACTTTCACAGCGCGATCTAAAACCGGGAGCCACGTGCAATTTACAAAAATCTACAGCTGGTTGCCGCAGGATTCTGACATTTCAGTGGGAATAAAAATGAAAAAAAGTCACATTATAATATCACGCTTGTAACCCCTTGAAACTACGAATCACAAAGCTATCTGCCTTTTCTAAATATCAAACGACATAAAGTTACGTCAGTGGTAACCGGATTTAAAATAGCACGTGACGTAGCGTTACGTCAGCGGCTGCGAATGTGTTAATTTCATTATTTTACTTAACGAAAAAAAAAGAAGTAATAATTGTGATACATGACAATTGAATAGAAGTCACTGTACGACACTGGGTAATAAGGTGTAAATGGAATATTGATCCTTACCATCCGTCCGCTCTGGTCAAGGTGAATCCGAAGCGCGAGTCCCTGTCCACGGACACTCTGATGCCTACTATTCCGAGTCCTTGTTCGGTAACAACTTGGCCTCGCATCACCGCAACTCGACTGTTACAAATTACAGATATATCGGGGGTCCACCGAAGCGGGATCGTTTCGTCGACCCATTAATCCGCGCAATGCTGATTTAAAACGAAGCATTCTCACAATTTACATCTGTCTACGATCGGAATGCAATTTCGATCGGTGCGCGCGGTTGAAGCGAAGGTAGTGCAATTTTGGAAAAATCATTTGAATTTTCATAGCGTTCCGTCGGAACATTGTTCGTAACTTAAATACGAATGTACCGGAATTAAGTTTCGGAATACCCAATCGCGCGAATACCACCGTGGACTCTATAATAAATGTTCGCTCGGGGCTTTCGATCTTCAAATAAACGCTCGAGCAATTTTAAATTTAATTATTTTCGCAATCATTGATACACTTAACATTTTCATAAGATCCCGCAGGTATACGTTCGAATTATGTCACGATTCAATTTTCCGCGATCCCACCGCGAACAACGGCGGCACTGTTAATACCCACTTAGTGCCCGCCTAATTAACGGGTAATGCGATCGTACTACTCGGCGGGTGCACGACCGGTGTCTTTACGCGGGCGCGGACGCGAGCAATCGATTTCGCCTGTTAAATCAGCTTCCGCGGTCAACGGTTCAATGCGATCCAATATTCTCACTTCGCTGCCAATACAATCCGCAACTCCATTCGGCCGACATTCGACGGCCGCATTGCCACGTACAAGGGAAGCTAATGCCTCTGGCTGAATCGAGGAGCGATACAAATTGATTTTACAAATAGAACAATGCCGCGTAGGCGAAGGGGTGGCGGAACGGGGCGGCACGGGTCGTGGGGGGGTTGGACGGCGGGGGCAGCGGAACACGCGCAGTGCGTCGACGATGCATTGTGCTCGCGAAAATCAGCATTCGCGGTGGTGGCGATGGCAGCGAGGCGGGAACATTCTTCTCGGCACTGACTTTCAGGATTTTCAGAGACCAGAAAAAAGGGTGGAAAAAAGATGAGAAAAAAAAAGAAAGAGAGAGAGAGAGAAAGAGAGAAGACATAATACTTGGTCCCGAAGCGGGTGGACGGGAGCGGGGGACGGAGGGGAAAATTCGTAGGGAAATTATCTCGTGAGAGAGTAAAAGGCATGCAGTCATGTTATATAGATACGTAGTAGGCGTGAGATATGTAATATGTAATATAATAATAGACGTATCATATGAACTTTTCGTGGACGGGGTCTGGAGGGGGGCAAGAAAGAAATGGATGTACGAGACCAGGGAGGCTGGACTCTCGGCGAGAGAAAGTTGGAATGTTTCAAGCTGAATATTTTAAGCGATTCGTGTAGTGCTGAATATAATGAGGTCGATGTATATAGGTACGTAGATAATATATATATAATGTATATAAGAGATATATGCGACACGTCGCATGTGTGTACGTAGCTTGTTACACCGCCCGTTGGGTAACGAGTGTAACGCGGCACGTGCGACATGAGCTACGATCCCCCGCGTCGTGTAACAAGCTATATACCCATTTATATGCATTCGGTATGTAGATATATATATATAGATATATATATTTATCAGTCTCTAAGGGATTGCGTATGGGGGCATTATTCGTTCTTGGAGGATCACGCGTGTCCCCAACGCTGCGCGCGAACGCCGATGGCCGCGTCGTCACCTAACATATGGTACGTTGGACCACCGACCGTATCCAATTGTCGCGATTATCGCAGATTTCACGGATGCTTTCAGGGATCGAAACCGGGATTATTTCAACGAGGTCAGTTTCTGCTCAGTTGGGTACGAAAGTGCGCCGGAAATCAGCGACGGTTCTGTTAACTTTTTACAAACAGCTAAAGCACGTCTGTAACTTATCCGAACCAGTAATAGCCTGCTGAATAATTACTCGTGTGATTAAAAGAATCGAGAAAAATTCCTTGTATGATATAATAACATTCTCACGCAATTCTTCACAGAAGTACGATTGTTGCATTTAAGCTGATAATAATATCCGATTGCTTTCATGCGATATAAAAATGTGTATTTTCATTTTTGCAAGAATGAAGTAGTTGAATTTTACATAGGATACTTAACAATCTTCAAATTACAAGAATAACCGTAATGTTTCTCAATAATTCATCTTGATTCCATATTCTTGGCCAATTGTCACTTTTCTGCCATCGCGAGCAAACGCAGACGCGCATTTCCGCGTGTGCAAAGAAACGAAACGCGAAATTGCTGCCGGTTTCGATCACTGATCGTGCCTTCGTTTCGAGTGGCTTGGAGATCAAACTGTGCCGGAGAGGCGGGCGCTGATCCTCCAAGTGCGAGCATAGCAAGGTGGCAGGCACAGTCGTCACTACTGTACGTCCAAACCCATAGTGAATGATAAACAGAAAAAGAAAAACGGATGATGCTCGAATGCACCGAGATCTCTAAAGGCAGTCGTAGTCAACCTATATGCAAATAACGAAAGAAGAGAATGTACACGCGCGACGCGCACCTAACGCCGTTAGGAATTATTAATCTAGCTTACTCTTTTTTTTCATTCTGCGTTATTCTTTTCTCTTTTTTTTTCTCTCTCTGTCTTCCCGCTGAATTTTACGAGCGAATAATCATCGGCGACCTCATTCTCTTTCTCTGTCGTGAGTCTTTCTCTCGGTTCATCTGTCTTTTCTCTTTCCCCCTCCTCTCGCCTCTCTTCCGTCGTTCTCGCGCGAACGAGGACGTCGAGGACCAATCTCGGAGAAATACCAAGACACACGAGAGACCGCGGATTTTTAATCGAAACGATCTCAGCGGAATTAGCAAACGTTGGTCGTTTTCAGTAAGTACTCCGCGTTCCAGAAAGAAGCATCGTTAAGTTAGTGAAGCGGGAATCTCGGGGACAGACGGACGAGGTAGAGCTTGGGATTGGCCAGGTCTGGGTGTGATCTTCTCGGTGGGTTTCGATTTCCTCGGATATCGGATAAAGACAGACACAGGGCGTTGGTGTCGGGTCATTGGCACATTTTAGACAGGTGATAGACGCAGACAAGGGACAAGGAGAGACGGTCCTTTGGGGTCCTTCATCATGAACTGTACGGTGCCGATTAGCAATACTTGCCGATCCGTCGATAGAACAGAAAGCGAACATGTACACTTGTTATTTTATCTCGTGTTCGTATCGTATGTATATATATATAATATATATAATAATATATGATAGAAAAAGGAACGGTATAATAAAAAGAACGCAACAGAGTCGTTCACGCAAGAGGCGCGCAATAAGGTCAGCGTTCGTGTAAAATGCTAGGACGTTCACTATAAGACAAGTTCGACAGGATGGTACATAAAGTGCAAGCCTGGCAAACACAAACAACACAAGACCAGGTTCGTAAGTATACGACTCGTAACATACTATTATGTATATCAGTCATATGGCTAACGCATCTAAGGGACAAGAAGACAAGACATAACAGAAAGGGGAAGACAACAATCTGACGACATATCACAGATAACACAGAGACAATTCGTACGGTTGACTTTAATGTATACGTGAAGAGCTCTTGCCCATGGACAGGCGCCACGGATGATGCGTACAAGCATTATATGTATATGTATTTATAAGCGAGATAGAAGATAACGAGAGATTCTGTATGTCGTAATATAAAGAGGAAACGGCATATAGAATCTTCGGGATTAGACAGCGGTCATTTTTAGAGCGTTCCGTTTCCTTCCCGCCCGCCCCCTCCCCCCCCCCCTCTCTCTCTCTTTCTCTTTGTATGATTAAACTTCGCCCTGGATCTATTTCCGACGTGGATTTTACACAAAACAAGAGAGAGTGTTCCACAAAGAGGATTTTAAAAAAGTAGGTTACCGAATATTTGTTGTAAATTCGATATCAATACCAGGAGGATTGTTTCTCGTTCGTATGTTTTTTCGAAGTCCATGGCGGTTTTATTGCGAACATGTATTCGACTATTTTTATAAAAATATAGACGGAAACCCGACGAGAGAGACGCGCCCGCACGCGGCGCTACCTCGAGCGGGATAAACCGCTGCAAAAACTGTCGACGACTCATCTCCTGTACGTATCATCAACGCGAGCGTGGCCATGGGGCGCGAAAGTGAATAAAGACAGATAGGTCAGACAGGTAGATAGAGGCGAGAGAAGTGAAAGAGAGAAAGAGAGATAGATAGAGAAAGATAGAGAGAGAGAGAGAGAGAAAGAGAGCGGAAGAAGTAGAACAGGGGGTGGTGTCGGATGAACGAGATGAGTGACAAATAAGCAAAGACGTGATCAAACATTTGGCGAAACGCAAATATTCGTATAATGAGAAATGATAACAGGCTGTTATATGGACGGCGATAAAAACAAGGACGGCAGAAAGAAAGAGAGAAAGAAAGAGAGAGAGAAAGAGAGAGAGAAAGAGAAAGAGTGTGTGTGAGACAGAGAGAACGAAATGTAGGAAAGTAATGACAGTGTAAAGGCACAGGCTAAGGATTCGATATATAAATACATAAGTGTTACATATTAATGGGTCATACGAAAGACATGTAAGATGAATGTACGAGCGAAACGAGCAATAGATGATACTTTGTTCTTTCTTTTTTTTTTTTTTATTCTTTTGGATAATGAACGATTAGCGAGAGCTTGAGCTGCAACTTACCGCGGTGTAAAGGAACTCCAGAACGTACTACGTGTGGGAAAAACCAACGAGAAGAAAGGGCGTTACCACGGTCACAGAACCCGCGTTTGCGGGCAAAAAACGGAGGCGCGTGCGCAGCATTGCGCGAGCAATCGGTATCTCCGAGCAATTGCCTCCGAAACGGCAATTTTTTTTTTGGTTCTCTATTCTTTATAATTGCGAGCGCGATTGCGTGCGTTTAACCGACCAGGCGCGCGCGTTTAAAAACCGTCCGCCGCGAATCTCCCCGGTCGCGATCCGGGAGCGAGCGGCGCCCCCCCCGCGGCTCCGTCCCGGCTGGACCGGCACGGAGAGCCCTTCGAGTGCTCCTCGCAATGTTCCGCACGCCATTACAGAAACAATAGACGTAGACACACACTAATCAAGCGTACCCATCACACACGCGATCCTTCCAGTCACGCAACATGAACGCAGTCACTCCCGGACTCATTCAACATAGAGTGGTATACAGTGTGACAGACACAAGTTGGAAACTACGCAACGCATACACATATGTATATAATGATGTATACATATATATAGGGCCCAGAGAAACGAGTGACCGAATAAACCGGTCGCATGTTAATACACGGCGTCCTTTCGATCCGGGGATGGTACCCCGTGACGCCTGCACCCTCGACACGGGCACCCTGACGTAGCGAGACCGAGGGAAACTCTTATCAGTTCGGTCTAACCAGGGTCGAAAGGATCGCCCGGACCGGACAACGAGAGGAGATTCCATCGGCGTCGATGTAGGGCCCGGGCTGAGGGACGATTCTCGAATATTGATTACGCTGTCCGAGCAACCTCAATGCCGGTCTGAATACCTGATTCACGGCGGAGCGCTTGTATCCGCGAGCATCTTTCTCGTTTGGAGCGCGAGCGTGCTCTAAAAATCGTGTTAACGCAAATAGCCTCCCGAAGGAGATACGAGAATTCTGACAGTGAAAAAGTGACGTCCAAGCACTCGTATGGAACTCGGAAACTTTCAAAACGGATGACGGACATCCCAATAATGATTCATTTAAATAACCGTTGAAATATCTCGATAAAAACTGACATAGCATTATTAATAATCCGGCGGGGATTCCAATGTTATTTAAATTTAGTTAAATTGAGAGCTTAATTAATACACAATATCCCATTGTTGCAAGTTTTAAACGGGTGCAAGTGTCGACAAGCCGCGAGTGTATACTCGGAATAGTAATCGATATTCCAGCGATATATTACGAGACGAATGGACAATGGACAAAAACAATGCTCTAAATGCTCGACTTCTGGAACAGTCTTCGACAACATGGACCTTATTATAACGCACCGTATACAAAGTTTTCACGGAGCAAAAAGAAGGAGACGGTACAAGAAATTTCAAACTTGTGTCTACCATATCTAGAAATACTTTTACGAGTGGGCGAGTCATGGCGCTTGTGCTCTTTGACATCGATAGCTCTCTGCACAGACTTTCACAGATAATTGCAAATTCTCGTTAAGGGAGTTTTCATTTCTGCCTGTCTGACTCAACCATTCGTACGCTTTATCTATCAACTCCTTCCTCGTAATCGCTTAACGAATGGCCAGATTATTGGTGTCGGAAAGCAATTTTGAAAATTCTGTCCTTCCTTATATATGTTAGTTATATTGCGCGTAGGCCGAGTACTGTTATATACTTTATGACGATAACGAACAGTGCCTAGAGTACATTAACGCGTGAGAAATCAATTAACCAATAATAAGGTAATACAAAAGCAAGTCTCTATCATATTCTCGTTATGCAGACTTTCGTCATTCAGTCCGTAGGCAGAACGGAGCCTTTATTTTTCGGTCTTCGGCTGTAGGGTGATTGGTAATCTGGTGGTGGTAAAGGGCTACACACAGAGGATAAACACTAGACAAAATACACGATACCCCCGAAGTGCCGTCGCGGCTTCTTCCAGCTAAGCCGCATATCGATAATCACTTCTTCAGTGCCGAACAAAGGAGGATAAACCAAATTTCGTCTCATCAGGGAATTCTTACGCCTTTTCAAATGTAAACTTTTAAAAAATTATATTTTGCCTTCTCCCTTCGATCCCTTCCATATACGTCTTTCCATTTAGAATGTCATTTCAATTGATCTCACGCGAAATGTGACTTTATACATTCGCGAATTATAAGTTAGATATGCAACATCTTGTGCAAAATTATTATACAATTTTGAATGGCGATTTTCTTTCTAGACAAGCAATAAGTAATAATCTCTTACTCAATGATTGTATAAAGATAAATCTCACTGATTTAACATGCACTTTTTTATTGTCATAGTCTTTTGTTAACAACTTTAATTAAAATTGTTCATCTGAAATCTTTACATCGCAAATGCGGAGATTAATTAACAGAAAACCTTTGATTGGCAATGGTTCCGGAGTAATCATCGATACAATTGGCATTCGGAGGGGGGAAAGGGGTGAAACACTAGGAAAGGATGGTTAGGGGGTTGCAGGGTGTCACCCACCGGGGGCTCTCCTGATATTTCAGCTGTTACGGATGTGGATTCATGACGATTCGATCAAATTTTTGTAGCGTTCAATGGCCGCTCACGATGGGGAAAACATCAATTTAATGAATAATTAATCGCAGTATCTTCATTTAAACAATATTTGCGACGTATAACGTCCGTTCGCGAACCAATAGTTTCGACGTGTCACACGTTTAATCGACAAAATAATTTATATTGTGCTGCAAATTGTACAAAATAACGATAGGACTACAATGATTTCTGAATTTATTAACTGTTATCGCAAAACTGTCCACCATTTTCGAACTAAGTTCCGCTTATTATCAATTTGTAAAGCAGGATAGAAAATATGCAGATTTCTACATAATATCAAATTTTGTACAACTATAACATATTTTGCACGGCTTGTATCGTATCCGCATTAAACGTATATTTCGCAAACAAAATTTACGCTATGCCTCCACAATAAATTAAAAACAAGTTATACGTATTCAAAGCTGAAAATATATTTTAATTAACTTTGTCCCATCCACGTGAAATTATTGGTGCGCATCCATCGTGCACGCATATGCGATATATGTATACCTATACATGTACACATAAAAGAGAAAGATATAATAAATAAATATGAGAAAGTATGTACCCCATCGTAAACCGTTACCACAGATTGAAACGCGTAAGTTACATAATAATATTCATAACTCGATAACCGCGTGCAGCGTGACGCGATATATTGTATTTTTCGCACATAAAATTTGTCAGTCCTGTAAACTGCAATTTTGACATTAATAACGCTTTTCAGGACGTTTCACTGCATACGTCGAAGGCAAATTCACGGCGTGCCGTACCAAAAAGGAACCAAAGTGCTGAACCAAACACGATGATACGCGTGTGTTTCTGGCTAACGAGAAAACCGAGAAAAGTAATGCGCGGCGGCATGAAAGTCGTAAAAAGGCCAAACTATGACACGCAGCTATGCTATTTTATCTTCATTAAATGTCATATGTGTAACGTTTACGATCGACCGAGTCGTTGCCCGTGTTCCCTTCTGTTTCCTCTAACGCATTAATGCGAAAATAAAAGATAGAGAGAAAGAGACACACCCGCGTACGTTGCGCGGAAGATCTGCGAGAAATTTAACGGAGAAATGGCGAGTTCTCGGTCGTTCGAACACGTCACTCTCGCTTATCTTACGAAAGTAAGAGACTAATTGTAAGCGAATTCTAATTCGAATTTTAATCCGTCCGGGTGGAAATGATCGATCTTACCTTTCCGTGTACTCGTCCATGTGGGCGTAGCTCTGTACGCTGTTCTCCTCGACGAGGAACTTGACCCGCTGATAGAAGGACGCGGTGACGCTGGGCGGTTGTTTGCGGAGGAGAACGTCCACGGGATTATTACTAGCAAGGCACATGATATGTTCTGAACAAGTTTCGTGCGAGCAGCACTCGCTGTCAGAGCAGTCCATCATGCCATCTGAGAAAGACAATCTATTAGATATCCGCCCGAGCACGTCTCGTCGGTCAATGAGATTCTACTTTTCAAACGAGCCTTTTCACAACGGGAGATCGGATATGAATAATCACAAGCGTAGATTTGGCTATGCTGAATGCAATTAATATTTTGCTGCCGTGACAGTGCCCATCTCAGTCCCTCCCCCCCCTACCCGACTTGGCAAGAATAATATCCGTTAGATACAGATGAGCAATGGTGTGCCATTAATCAGCGTCGATTTAATGCCGAGTTACTCGAGGACTTACCTTCGTCATTGTCAACGTAATCATTACATTCCAATTCGAGTCGTATGCTGCAATCTCTGCCGGCCCACCCGGTCGAGCATTCGCAGCTGTATTCGCCGTCCTGCAGAGTGCACAATCCGTGGCGGCTGCATCCATTCTCGCATCCGGCTATTAAAGAGACAGGGAAGCATTTTCAATAATTGCGACCGAGTAATCGATTATTGAAAAATGATATTACGCCGCCTCGTATCGGGGAGCTTATTAACGGCGGCGAGATATATACGCTCGTGCAAGGCAAAGCACCGAATTTATCACGAGGGGGCCGTAATCTCCTATTTTACGTACGTAATGTGCAGTGCCTTCCGTTCCAGCCTTGGCTGCACACGCAGGTCCCATTTTTGCACTGGCCGTGCTCGGCGCAGCGCGAGTCGCACGGCTTCTGATCGCACTTCGTCCCGGTCCAGTCGTCGTGGCATCTGAAAACACGCACGTCTCGCATCTTAGGCCAGTTCTACATTGATCGTATCATATCGTCGCAAGCGTCGCAAATCATAGCGTTGAATTAAGCCTCCGCTACAATGATTCTCGGTTCTGTCTACAATGGTCGTAGTCGTAAGAATAATCGACTGCGATTGGTCAATTCTTATCGAGCGACTACGACCATTGTAGACAGAACCGAGAATCATTGTAGCGGAGGCTTTAGAACCAGTCTACGACCCTTGCGACACTACGATGCGACCAATGTAGAACCGGCCTTACAGGCCCGCGGACTCGACTCGCTTTTCGCTTAACGATCGAATTTCGCGAGATAAAAACGACGAGTGCGAGGGAACTGGCGATCTTGTCGCGCTAATCGCATCGTACTTCGTAACACCCGCATACGCAAATGCTTCTAACAGGATTCGTTATGTTAAACGGCGGTATCGCCGAACGTAAAATAATTTCTCGCCGTTTATACCGCGGCTGCAATAAAAAATGCGAGTTTGAACCGAGTTCCGAAGTTGTTCCGCCGTAGTGAGGAACTTTTTGCACTTAGAGCCTCTTTTACGCCAACTCTCGGGGACGGAACGGGAGAGCGGGGAGGAGGGGGAGAGGGGTGGGGGGGGGGGAAGAGGTGGTAGACGAGAGGCGTCAGCTTTAGAATATGAGAAAGGAGATCCTCTCCCGCGTCCTTGATTCTGACAAAGGAAAGTAGGAAGGGACGAGGACGGTCCTTCGAGTTGTGATAAGTTGGCGCCTCGTAAGACAGAGCCTTTTTCTCGCAATTTTTCACCTTTTTAGCCTCAACTTTTGTGCCCGCGATCCCGGCGAGCAATTTACTCATTTTTAGGCCATTCTTCGCCCACATCTATCCCACAATATTTCAATGTCCCGACAAAACGTTACTCTCTCGCCTTCCCCCGCGAGCGCGGGATTACTGTTAAATGCCCCGCGACGTGCCTCCCCCGTGCATTCGTCGCTGAAAACTTTACGACGTTTCTCACTCTTCGACGCGGAATTACCCGGTAATCTATTCCAGTCGTAAAAGTTGCAAAAAGCTCGCACGTCACGCTCTATGAAGCGCCGAGAGCGCGTAAATGGCCGTCACGTCCGCACAATTCCGCAAATCTCCCGCATTAAACAATGATCTTGCGCGAGGTGCGGGCGTCATATGGCAGAGAAGCGAATCGGGGTCGCATGGAATTCCTTTAATCCGAAGAAAAACGACCCGGGCATCGAGACACGCGTCACTTTCCTCGCTCAATCCCGAAGCGAGAGCGAGAGAGAGAAGAGAAAGAGCGGCTGTTGGCTGCGGTGCCGCGCCGGTTGCGCCAACGGGTAACCCAATTTTGGAATCCCGGTCTCGACACACCCCCGCGGAGGGCCCATAAAGGACGACGATATACACACACACATATATATATAAAGGTACGATGTATGTACGTGCGCATCTATGTGGTATACTGACTTGCAGCGGCCCTGCTCGCAGGACCCGTGAAGTCCGCAGTCTAGACCGCAGCTCGGCTGCGAGCAATCGACGCCGGTCCAATGCTCCTCGCAAACGCAGGCCGCAGATTCGAGGTCGTACGTGCCGTGATCGGAGCAGCCGGGTAGACACTGGTACACCTGCTGATCGACCTGATTGCACCGCTCGCCCTGCCAGCCGGCCTTGCAGTAACACTTGCCGGAGACACAGGCGCCGTGGCCGCTGCAATTCGGGTCGGAGCAGTCGGCTGAAAATTGAGAGAGAGAGCACGGGGTCGTTAGATCAGGAACTGTCGCGTTTCCACGCGTTCGCCGCGAGCCGGAGCTCCGCTTCGCGAAGCGGGCCGGAGCCGCCAGCCGCTCGCGGGGTGAGCGCGTCCCGTCAGTTATCAGAGCCCATCCTCCCCGTCCGCCCTCGCCCGTCACGCCCGGACGCCGCTGATTGCATCCATGGCGTGGACGAATGGACCAACTTTTTAAATTATGGCATCGGAACAATTGCATTATTCCCGCGGATCCCACCTGCCCCGGGGAAATTATGAAACTTAATTCCGGAGCGTCCTCGGCGCAGCGGCAGCGGCGGCGGCGGCGGCGGCGGCGGCGTCGCGGGCCGCGTCGCCCGCGTCTGCTGTGCCGCGTTATACGTATACACGGGACGCGAGAGATGAGGGGAATTCCTGGGCGGATTCTTCTTGCATTATGTATGCGCGACGTTGATCGAACGGGATCATAGATTTGTTCGTTTTCATTAGAACCTGGCAGGTGCGTTCGCGCGCCGCCGTGGAACGCCGGAAACGCGGAACGCGATAAATTGGGCGTTGAAGTATGATACCATTAAGCGTATTTAATGGTACATACAGAATGTTTCCGCGGAACGAGCTGCCTTCGGTAAAAATGCCGAGACATCAATTTCTAAGTCGCTCGCGACAAGAGAAACGATAGTTTTAACGAATTAGCGCTCACTCGGAATAACTGAGAGCGAGTCCGTCGGGAACTGACATAAGGTGCACTATAAGTAAATGATCAAACAAATGTACGTAAGAGATATAGAGATAAGAGTGCCGAGAGTGCAGAAACACACCAACATCCCCTTAAAAGTTAAATAGCCCCGGTCTCTCGATTTGGATTCTTATTCGCGAGTTAGCTCTCATTTGCCGTCGCGTCGCGACTAATGCAAATCCGTTTCCGCTCGTCGAATTTATCGTTCTTACGATTGGAGCTGACATATTCCACTGACGTGGAACTAATACCGTTTTCGTCTGCGTTTAGGAAAAAGCGACGGGCGAGCGTATCTCTAACGAGGACCGTGAGAATGTCAGAGACGAAGTGTCTCGTTCCCGGCGAATAATCTCGTCATTTATATCGTACGTCACTCAGTCCCCGGAAATTCCGGGGTGTGCGAAATTATAACGTATCGAACGCAGCTGCGTGCCGCGCGCGCGCGCGCCCGTGTATTATTCAAATTCCCGCGAAACAATACGAAACTAATTGTCGCACCGAATTGGCATGGCTTGACCCATATGTAAATTTGGAGAACTCCGCGTGCATTAATTATAGGTTGTACACAGGCCGGCTGTGTTCTCCACCGGCGGGGACTCTGCATTACTAATATCTTGAATCTCCCCGGATAGAGGGCCAGGACGTACGCTTGAATTATGGGAAAATTAATGGTGCTGTGACAAACATGAAGAAATAACGATCCGGGGGGGCAGAAATAGATGTTCGAGGTAAACGTTTTCCGTCGCCCGTGACTTCCGCTAAGCCGTTTTTAAGGCTGAAATATGTGTCGCGATATCGCGCGCATTTGCAATGCAACGCCAACGCTCTCGCGAATCGCAGCTCGGATATTCATTTTAAGCCGATCCGCCAGAATACTGTCCATCCTTTTCCATTTTTCATCCGCGTAAGAAAATACATATCTAATTCGGGGGCAAACAATTCCCGAAATTGTATCCGGCGCCAACTTACGTTCGTCGCAGAAGGGGCCCTTCCAGCCGGGATTACAGACGCAGGATCCTCTAACGCACTGGCCATGCTGATTGCAATCAGGAACTTGGCAGTCGCCTAACGGTATGTCGCACTCCGCGCCTTTCCAGCCCTCCTCGCAGTGGCACATACCACCGCCGTATTGTCCGTGAGACGAACACAAAACCGGACATACGCTCTTGCTGCAATCAGCACCCTGCAAGTTCCGTCTCCTTAGTCCCTCGCCTCTTCGGGTGGATACATAGTCGAGCAACTTAAAGAATAATTGCGCAGAAACGCACCTGATATCCGTCTATACAGTCGCACTTGCCCAGGTAGCACGATCCACGTCCGGAGCAGTCGTTGGGACACGTAGTGGAGACACCTTCCGCCTCCGTCACGACCAGGGTGACCTTGTAAGGCTGCAACTCGTCGTTATACACGGACAGGAACCAGTCGCCGGTGTCGAAGTACTGCAGCAGACTGACGTTGACCATCAGCGGCTCCACGATGGTCCTCTTGATGAGCACGTGCTGGTAGGGCGCGACCGGCTGCGCCGCGCGCTCCACCCGCACGTCCTGCGGGCTGCTGGACTGCATAAAGCTGACGGCCTCCGCGGTGATGTCCCTCTTCAGCCTGTGGACCACTCTGCCGCCCTTGACGAACTCGACGAAGTCGTACTGCGTGACGCTGGGCGCGACGTTCCGCCTGCCGTAGACCGCGAAATTCGCGCCCCACGGCAGAGTCAAGTTCAGCCTGATGAACGCCGGCTGCTTGTTGCGGAACTCCGTGTTCCAGAAGTGATACGGCTGAATAACGGCGGAGTGCGCGACGTTGTAGGCCTGCAGCTCGAGCACGGCCGGCCACTGCTGCGCCGATTGCTGTATCTGCGGGTCGCTCTGCTGATCACCGGCGCTGTCCGCGGCGCTCGAATGCTCCGCCGTGCTCGTTGGCAGGGATTCTGCGAGGGAGAGACGCGACAATAACGACGCATTCGATAACACAGTAGCATTAAGAAAGTCGCGGGACGACATAATATAACATTTAGTAGACTCTTTAAGAAGGAAGAGTCTCTTAAGGCCTGCGTCCACGGTGCTAGAACTTGG